GAGAGAGAGAGAGAGAGAGAGAGAGAGAGAGAGAGAGAGAGAGAGAGAGAGAGAGAGAGAGAGGGAGGGAGGGAGATTGATCGACTGCAGTCGGCCGTTGGATGTGGTGAGTGGTTGGACGGTGTCACGGGTAGGCCGTGAGAGTGGTTGGACGGTGTCACGGGTAGGCCGTGAGAGTGGTGGGCACAGTGATTGGCGTGCAATGTTCGACCGTCGATGCCTGAACGACGCACAATTATGGGAGATTCAGGTCAGTGGTCCCCCTCCCTCGCCCCCCAAGAACCCCCTCCTCCTCCTCCTCTGCCCCTCCCTCCCCAGCCTCCGCTCCTCCGCCGCCCCTCCGCTCCATCCCCTCCTCCGCCGCCGCTCCCCTCCGCCAGCGCTCCCCTTCTCTCTCCTCGACCAGCGCATCCCCCCGCCAGCGCTCCCTTCTACTCCCCTCTGGCAGCACTCCCCTCCACTCCCCTCCTCCCTTCCGCCAGCGTTCCCCTCCGCTCCACTCCTCCTCTTCCCCAGCGCTACCCTCCACTCCCCTCCTCCCTTCTTCCAGTGCTCGCCTCCACTCCCCTCCTCCCCTCGGCCAGCACACATCTCCACTCCCCTCCGCCCGCTCCCCTCCACCTGTGTTCCTTGCGCTCCCCTCAGCGCTCTGCTTCGCTCCCCTCAGTCACTGCACCGCCCGCCAGCGCTCTCCTCCGCCAGCGCTCCCCTCCACTTCCCTCCGGACGCTCCCCTCCGCCTATGCTCTCCACCTTCCTCCGCTGCTCTTCCACATATCGGCTGCTCCTCCGGCCCTTCCCCCTCCTCCGCGGCTCTCTGCCCCCCAGATGCTCCATCTCCACCTATCCACCACCCCTCCACCCCCTCCTCCGCCGCTCTTCGCACCAGTGCTCCCCTCCGCTCCCCTCCGCCAGCACACCCCTTCGCCAGCGCTCTACTGCGTCAGCGCTCCCCTGCGCCTGCACTCCTTTCCACTCCCCTCCGCCCGTGGTCCCGTGGGCCTGCGCTCCTTTTCACTCCCTCCACCAGCGCTCCCCTCCAACCCCTTACCGCTTCCCCAGCAGCGCACCTCTGCCTGCGCTCCCCTGCAGTCGCCGCCGCCAGCGGCTGCCCCTCCGCTTTCCCGTCTCTGCTAGAAAAAAGAAAACATGTTAGGCGCGCACTGAGAGAGAGAAAGAGAGAGAGAGAGAGAGAGAGAGAGACCTTCTCCCACCTCCGCCGTCACCCTTCCCCCAAGCATCCGAGCATCCGACTACCGTCACCCTTTCTGCAAGCGTACGAGCCACCTCCCCCCCTCCCCCCTTATCAAGTGTGCTATCCGTTCCTATCGGTTTCATATGTGATCCGTGGTCCATGGGGAACCTTCTTTTGAAAAAAAAAGAAGGAAAAAACGGACGCGCGCGCACGCTAGAGAGAGAGAGAGAGAGAGAGAGAGAGAGAGAGAGAGACCAATCTAAATAACTGCGACCCCTCCCCTGCGGGTGAAAAACACGATGAAGTGTCGTATCTCTACCGATCAGGTTGATATCTAATCCATGGTCCATCGGGATCCCCTTTTTTCCGATCGCGCGCACACACACACACACACACACACACACACACACAGAGAGAGAGAGAGAGAGAGAGAGAGAGAGAGAGAGCAATCTAAATAACTGCGACCCCTCCCCCCCCGGGTGAAAAACACGATGAAGTGTCGTATCTCTACCAATCAGGTTGATATCTAATCCGTGGTCCATCGGGACCCCTTTTTCCCGCACGCGGGTGCGCGATCGATCGATCGATCGATCGAGAGAGAGAGAGAGAGAGAGACCAATCTAACTAAAGAATGCCCTCCCCCCACCCCAACACGATCTATCTGATCCGTGGTCAATCGGGACCCATTAAAAAATAAACGAACACACGTTCACGCGCGCGCGAGACAGAGACCCCAGTCTAACTGACTACGCTGCCGCCCCCCGCCCCTTCCCCCCCCCCTCTCTTTTCAACGCGATCAAGTGTAGCATCTGTTCCGATCAGTTTCATATCTGAAGACCCCAATCAAACTAACTATGCCCGCCCCCCCCACCCCAACAGGATCAAGTGATCAGTTTCATATCTGGAGACCCCAATCTAATTAACTATGCCCGCCCCCCTACGCCCAACACGATCAAGTGAAGTATCTGTCCCGATCAGTTTCATATCTGATCCGTGGTCCATCCGGACCCCTTGAAAAAAAAAAACGAATGCACGTGCACGCGCACGACAGAGAGAGACCCCAGTCAAACTAACTACCCCCCTTCCCCCCCAAACACGATCAAATGTAGTATCTGTTCTGATCAGTTTCATATCTCATCCATGGTCCGTCGGGATCTCTTTTAAAGGGGGGGCGGGGGGGGGGGACGCTCGCACACGCAAGATATATATACATATATCATCAAACAGAGCTGCCCGGTAAACCGTACGTAGAGAGGGAGAAGAGGACAACCAACGAGCGGCTGTGACAAACTGTTCCGGCAGAGTTTCTACACAGAGAGAGAGAGAGAGAGAGAGAGAGAGAGAGAGAGAGAGAGGGAGAGATCCCCTCCCCACCACACGCCCCTCATTCTGCGTGCGCTCCCCTCCGCCCATCTCCCCATCCGCCTGCACTCCCCTCCGGCCTCCTCTCCCCTCCGCCTGCAATCCTACATACTTTCCTGCACTGCTCTCCACCTTTCTTCCCTCTCCGCCCTCGTGCTTCCCCCCGGCATCCGCCTACCCCCACCCCAATATAACGAACAACAACTCCCCCTCCGTTCCGATAAGTTTTCATATGTTATCGGACTTGTCCGTGATCCATGGACCCTTTTTTTTCTTCAAAAAACGAAAAAAACGCACGTGCACGTAGAGAGAGAGAGAGAGACCAATCTAACTGACTATGCCCGCTCAAGTGGAGTATCTGTTCCGATCAGTTTTATCTGATCCGTGGTCCATCGAGAGAGAGAGAGACCCGAGTCTAACTAACTATGTCCCCCCCCCTCCCCCTCCTCTTCCCCAACACGATCAAGTGTCCTATCTGTTCCCCGATCAGTTTCGTATCTGATCCATGGTCCAGCAGGACC